AAAGCGAGGGAAGATGTTTATTTTCAATTATGGACCAAATGGTAGTGGACATCCACTACTGAAGGGAGTAACTCTGACAACACCCGTGGATCTGGCGGGTGATAGAGAAATTTTCTATGAAACCGGAAGTACTGGGTGGAAGCATTTATCTGTACACTTTCAGATAAGACTGGAGGGGCCTAATGCCCCACCCACACTCTTATGCACTGTTGCCTTCAGACGAACAGTTCCGATGGCTGAGCTCTGCTAATTGCTTAGTCTACAATCGACACTCAAGTGAAATTCCGGTTGCCGCTCCTTGCTACAAACCCAAGGGGCACTACACTCACGAAGGTTACAACACGGAGAAATGGCTGTTCCATTTCCAAAGACAAGAATGTCAAGCAACAGGTGATACCACATCAACAGATAAATAATTTGGTGGTCGTTACCACAGAAAGCGTCAATGAGGATCAAACAGCGAATCCGAACTTTCAGACTGCGAGATCTCGTTATCTATCAGTCTGGAGCAGAGGGTCGATGAAATAAGACCAGAGGTTATGTAGAGTTACTGGATTGATGCGACGGACACGCAACTTCCACTTTGAAGGAATTTCTTCTGGGATTATATCAGTTTTGAATAACACAGAAAAATGTGTTTTCCCCTCCAAGAAGACACACTGCAACGCTTCTACGAAAAACAGTTTCAATTAGGTTTACGAAAGTCTGTTGCTTGCTCTGGGTGCCAGCCATTTAACACGAGTTCCTCGTCACCTAGGCAAGATGAATCTTTAGGCTGCAAATATAATGTCTTCTGGGATTATATCAGTTTTGAATAACACAGAAAAATGTGTTTTCCCCTCCAAGAAGACACACTGCAACGCTTCTACGAAAAACAGTTTCAATTAGGTTTACGAAAGTCTGTTGCTTGCTCTGGGTGCCAGCCATTTAACACGAGTTCCTCGTCACCTAGGCAAGATGAATCTTTAGGCTGCAAATATAATGAATGAGTGGCGGACAGCCGACGAGGGGGGGTTTCCCAGCTTGGGGATTGGTGGAGGGTTAACAATCTCGCATCGTAAAAGACTAGCATGTTACGGAATGCTAAACAGTACCTCGAAACTTTGAATAATTCTTCAGAGTAATCTGAACAACGGAGTAAGTAATTTTGAAACGAATCTCAGCGGCACGAAGTGTGTGAAGATGTGCACTATATTCGTCTCGCCCAGTGGCCGGCTCTTCAGATCACGATATTAAATAAAGGCGGGGGAAGTTCGTGACCATCTGCTCGACTATCAGCTTCTGAAGAAGGACTTTGTTGAATATCAATCATCCTGGACACCAAATGGAACCCGTAAACAGGCTATGGCTGGCAAGTCGAATTCAACATAGCAGGTGGTACAGACATTCAGCTACCATATAAAGCGGGGCGGAGCGTTCATGTTGGCCGTGTCAACCCGACAAACGAAAAATAAAAATTCGTGGTTCAATGGTACTGCATGCATTGGAATATACACTAAAAACAGCAAAACCAGTCAGATAAAAATGCATCGTTGGCAGCCAGTTAGTTGACGCTTGCACTATCAGTATGTTTGTGCGGGCGCAATTAGAAGAAACATGGTAGGGTACAGACTTACGAGGAGCAGGGACTGTATGACATTCCAAGCTCCCACGTTAGCCAGTCATGGAATGTTGACAGCTGCTTGCGTTTTTGGCGTCTGGCGTAAAGCTCTGCATCACATTTCTCGCGATTTTTATCGCATAACCTTTATTGCACGCGTGTGCCGTATGGTCACTTGTGCATCATGAAAGATGAAGTACGATGTATACACTAAACTGTCAAAACTTTTCGCGATATACTCCGCCTCGGGACTTGGCCAACACTTTTGAAAAAAGTCATGCACCGCCACTGTTATAGAGTAATGCCTGGCGCAGAGCACACGAAGTAAGCATACCTGGCTGTAAACGCTTTCCTATCGATCGCTGAGCTCCCCCCCCCCCTCCAAACACACAGCAATTTACGTATCCGCGGTCAGGGACATCAAATAACTCATACCTCCTTACTGGTCATTCATGAGAGCGTGTCAAATATAAACAGACAATGCATAGGGCGATACAGTAAAGAAGAAAACCCTGATCAAAATGATCCAATTGTTGTTAACGAGAGTCGCTAAATTCTGAACGCCCCCAGTCATTATCCGAATGAAATGAAACATTTAAACTGTATCACTGTGCAAGCACCTTCCTGACTTATTCATTATCTTACTGCTTGCTGCTCTGCTATAACAGCGGCATGGCGTCAACTGGCATAGGAATTTCTATGGCTGGTGGCCAATAAGAGGCCTGAAATTTATCGCGACCAACAGGCACGTGTTTAAGTTCATACCATACTCGATGCAAACTAAGTACGGTGCCTATTTTCTTCCCCGTAACAAAAACATGTTCCTCCAACAACTAAATTAAACTACCAAAGCATCACAAACCATGTTTTCTATATTAACTACAAACATGAAGATGGTGCTAAAATTTGAGGATAATGTCTGGCAAATTTAAATTATTAGGACTCTACTAAACCTAAATGATGCACAGAAATGTCTCGAAACTGTATAAACATCTACATTAAAGGGATTTTCGTGTTAACCAACATGTTTGCTTGCGTTTCCAGCTGGCACTATGCAATTTCATAATACTCCGAGAGATGACAGCACCATGCACAATGATACACAAATAACACAAAAACCGACATAAGGGGCTGTAGGATTAAATATGAATAAATCACTCCCCGACAACTTCTACCAGCCTTTTCCCCCAATTAATTCAAAGTTCCTGTTAGGATCACAATATAAACTAAAGCATTTACAAAAAAGTAGGCATCAAAAATTCTTCCCAGAACTTATTATACTGTGTCATAAAATATTTTCGTCAAAAACTCGTCCTCTAAAACCCCAGTGCATCTTATAATCTCGAAACTAGGGTGATTACTTTCACTTCACCATTTGTGAAATGTAACCACAAGGACAACTGGAAATGTGCACCCAAAATTACCAACACAAAATAATTACAATATTAGTCACCCTTGGACAAGGTTTCAGACAGTTAGTTGATTTGCTATAATTTTACAAATACAGAACAACTGCCACTCATAAACGATCGTCATATTCGCAAATAACTGACTGAAGTCAGAATGTTTCACACCTGTGTCACAATAAACCGTTTACAAAATTATGAAGTACTTTATCCATACCAAAGAATTCACAAATACCAGTAGATGTGATAAAACATACTAAAATGTAATATTGAGGGCAGCTGATATGTGCCATCAAGCAAAGAACTCCACCTTTTATCTTCATGTCCCAGTTCTTGAACATTAACTGTAGGTGCCAATCAATGAACTGGACGGCATCAAGAAAACTTCACTACCACCAAACCGCAAACTGCCTTCTACTGTTAATATCAACCTCATATTCATAAAAAAAATATGAATAAATTCAATTAGGGCTTCATTTCTCACCTGGCACTTGGCTGGTCTTTGAGTGTCCTCCAATTGCAAAAAATATGTGTGTGTATGTTTGTATATAGAAATGGTCATTTAGTTTAAAAGTTAAAAGGGTGCCACATACACAGAATGATTTCATAAGCTTATAGTTTTCATTAAGAAAGCAAGTGGCTTAAAATACACCAGCTCATTTCCATACTGTTACAGCAAATACCAGCAGGGACATTCATATCTCACAATCAAATTATAAGGAACAAACAGATTATAGAATATCAGGTGTAAATAGTGTACACATATATATCAATTGATATTCTGGCACACGTGTCCTTTCTCATTATTTTAGGGAGCAACTAAATTAACTTATCAATGTCTAAAGGAGACTTTTACACAAGTCCTTGAAATGCTGTTTACGCAGAATTACATCATTCAGAAGTCAGTTCCACTATAATGATTTCTGCTTCTGAAAATGGATATCAACCCCAATAATAACAAATGCACAACAAATCTAGCATTCATGATTCTATCTTCATCACTTATCTTGCAGCCTATCACAGCAATAAGCAATAACACAATAATAATCAATAAGAACCTTACAAACCAAAGTATCTCAAGCCACTTAATGAACAGCCTGGAAAGAGTTGCCAACAATTACTTTAGTATCAGTAGTTACTTACGAGTAGCATGAGCAGCATAAGTCAAAGTCCATACATGAACAGTATGCACTCACATGCAGCCATGCTAACTTCTGTTTATTACTGACTGTTGCTTTTAAGAGGGTTCATATTTCTAACAGAATATAAGACTAACCTTTCCTCTAACAGCAGATACTAATTCCAACAGCAGAATTATCTACCAGTTAATGTGGAGCATATGTTACATGTTTATAGCATCACATTTATGTAAACCAAATATTACCATATATAATCAAACCAAATTCTCTACCTCAAATAACATAACCCTAATTACAATATGAAATTTCGCAACATGAAGTAGCATGTGTTCTAATTATTTCCACTTTTACTTTTGACTTTTTTTAGGTAAAAGCAATAAACAATTATGTTAATGACGCACAAAAAAATCATCGATTTGGGCTACCGGAGATAATTTAGGACCCGCCCCCTTTATGAACAACTGTACTTACCAAAATGTTGCGGATTAAGTGTGTAACCAAACTAAACACATTAAAATCTTCGAATTTCATCGAAAGAAATATACTCACAGTCTCAATCTAGTATGCTTTCTTCCAATTTGAGTTTCAGCCCACAACAAAGTTACTTTTAAAAATGTCGAAACAAATATTCGTCATCTTTATACACCACATACAATTCTGCCAGATGGCAGCACCATATGCACAGATTATTCCATATGAATCTAGTTCCTTTAGGAGCACAATTTCATGGACCCAAGCTTGACGTTACATAACCCGACATATGCACAGATAGACGAGAACGTCGAAATACGAATTTCAGTGAATGCCAATAACGATTATAAAATGCAGCCCATTAAACCCACAACCACATCTCGCTACAAATTCACCATAGTAAATGTCTGATTGCTACAAGTATCATTCCACTGAATAAACTATATTGAGAATTAGAAATTATAGCTACCAGAGCTTATTTGTTCCCAAGAAAAACAGACAGGTATCTAACTATTTTTGGACTAGTGCTTGTATTTACAAAATACTGAAGGAACATTAAATATCTCATGTGGTTACACGCCTCTTTCAATACTTGGGTGCCAAATTCAAAGTCGCTGTAGGTTTCAGTGGTCAAAATAGTAGTAAAATAACATGAGCCCAGGACTCTTGATGCTTTGATGGGAAACAAACGATAATGCTGCCCAAGCACAGAGAAGGTTAGGATTTGTGAGGTTCTAGTAGGGAACAGTATCTATCTGGTTGATTGCCTTAGTAGCAATAGTTCAATTCTCTCAAAACATTAACTCGTGTGATTTTTATAATTTATAGCTTTCGTGGCGACTTATGAATTCTTCAACCAAGACAATATCGGCTCCGCAGACGTACTATCACTTATGATGAAGACCAAGACGACTCTCAAGACGTCATTTTATTTTACTGACGCGGCTGACTGCCCGTGAAGACTTCAATTAACATGTGGTTTTGTTAATGACCGATTCATGTTCAACTTTGTCACTGCCTGCGATTGTGGATCTGGGCGCTCTTATCACTGAACAACAAAACAGATGGAAGAAGAAACTTGTGAAAGCAATCGGGGCTTGGATGAAACAGCTGAGAACTGCAGGGAGCGTGTTATTTTGTGCACGTCAAACATGTTCTGAACGTATATTGGTTGGGGTTGCGATAATTGAAGTTTGTCGCCCGTTATAAGTAATCAAAACAAATTTGTCTTACACACACAGTGTATTAGTAACATACAAGATCATTTAATTTTATATTGAAATAACACATTGCGAAGATGGGGAGTACTGACAAGGCAGTGATAACTGGCTTTATATGTCGACTTTGTTCCAAGATGAATCGTTTTGTTATTCATATTTATGGCGAAGAAGGGGAGAGAATGCGTCTAGCTGAGAAAATTAATGCATACTTACCAATAACGGTTTGTTTTCTTCCTTCATTATTTTTTGATAAATGGTGCTTTAATAATTTCAATAAACAATTTTGTGTAGGTTATGTAAGGACAAATTATAATCGAGAACTTTTTCCGCTCAGCTCTTCCGCCCTTTAATCGGAAAGTATTTGTTATACCTAAATACTAAGCTACATAAAACGTAGAATGATATGTTATTTGTGCACATCTTAATATCACTTATGAAGCTCTGCTGTATGCACCACATAATGAAGTAATCCTGCCTTTTTATAATGTGACGGATTCAGAGAAGCATAATGCTATGCTTTCATTTTCAGATCAGTATTAATGATCCTCTGCCAAAAACAGTGTGCTTGCCATGTATTGATCTTCTGGAAGCACACCATGAATTAATGGAGCAGTTTACCTGGGCAAGGCAACGTTTAGCAGAAGCAAAGGCCGCAGAAAATCCACAAGTTAGTAGTGTTGGATAATTTGCACTGGTTTCTCTGTTGATTTAATGTGGGGCTTTTAACTCTGCCAACACCTCTACCATTGCTTATTATACATTATTAGAATATTACTGATTGATGTCAATCTAGAACAGAAGTCACCAGCTACAATTCTGGTTTAATTGGATAGCTTTGTTATATTTATGAATGTACAGAAGATTAAATGTTACATGCGTGAGGTGTTTATAGTGTTACACAAGTAGCATGGCATAACATAGTTCAGATATGAACAACCATTTATACAATTTTATGATGTTATGCTTGTAAGAGGAGAGATAATGCATTAAAAGAAAAGAAAAGGTTTGTGTTCTTCTTTTATAGAAATCAGTTGATCCTAGTCAAGCTAGAGATGGCAGCTGTGCTCTTCCTGGTTGCAGTTCATCCTCACAAGAGCAGAGCATGCATGAAATGGACACTAGAACGCACGAGTAGAGTGGATTCAGAGGTACCAATGGACCAAAATGCTCAAAGTGTATTCCAAGTCTTAAAACAGACTGAAATTCTTTGAAAACAAACACAGAAATGTATGTGTATTATTTGAGGTTTTCACAATAATGTGAATATTGATTATTGATAATCTTCTGGGTTGTTGTTCAATGCAGTATTTTGGCTGTCAGTGTTTCAGAAGAATACACTGCCTCCATTATCATGGATAATGGAGGCATACAGCAAACATACTATGTGGTGCAACATTGGAGGTCAATAGAAATGTGTCTTCTGCGCTAGTGGTTTGAAGATTTCAGGAGCATGTTCTGGATGACAGACCTATACAAAACTTTATTATACAATATTTGAAATGTGCTTTCTGTAATAGATTTTATAATTTTTATTGTTTTTCTGTTTAATTTTTCCTGAGTCATATGGTAAAACCTAGTTTACTTGGTTTTTTATTACTCTTCACAAAGATTTCCTGGATAGGCAGTGATGTTTTATGGATGTGTGATAACAGTTTTTGTGAACATTATACTTTATGAAAGAGACAAACTGAAGTGTGCTATGAGTATCAGGGGTGTTATTTTGATAACCCATTATTGACAAAAGGGTAAATTTTTCCAAATACATTTATGGTAATTTTTGTTTCTTAATAAGCACCATCAGGCATTTACATGTAACTTAGGAATAAAATATAAAATAGAATCATACCAAATGTCTTTTACTGATAGATGTCAAGAAACCTGACTTCACCATCTGTATTTATGCAACTTGGAAGCAACCCAACTTCTGTAAGAGGATTCTCCAATGCATATAGCTCATGGGCTTAATGCTGGCTCTGATGTGCCTCAATATTGCTTCCAGTGAACATGGATTCAAAGACACATGGCCCATTTAGTAGTCATTTTAATGGTAGTGTAATTTGTTTGCTGATGGATCAGTAATCAAGTGGTTTGGGTATCAAATATTTGATATATATTATTGCAGACTCTTGTGAACATGGTAATTTACCTTTGCATTCTATGAAAGGGAATTTATTGACTAGGTGAGTGTACTATCAGCCTCTCAAGGTCTCTACTCCATGGAGTTCAACTTTCCAAAATATAAAAATAATCTGTTCTGAAGGTTTCTCACAATGGTGTAATACAATCTGGATTGTTGGGTTTTTAGACTTGTCCATCATCTGATGTTATAATTTTATACATTAGACGATGGACAAAGTCAAAAACCCAACAATCCAGACAAATATGGAAGCCAATCAGAACTTCTGGGTCAAGTTTCTCAAGTGACCTGGACAACAAAGTTATGATCTGCCTATTCACTGATCACTCTTGTAGCCCAACAGTCATAAGAACTACAATAATACAGCTGGGAAAGAAATGTTGCAAGCAGCAGCCATCACTTATTAGAATGAGTAAAATATAAAACAGCAGCAAAGGTGACACAGGGGGCAACTTACATATTCTCACATAGAGCAGATTATGTATGGCTTTGGTCCAACCATACCTGTAATGAAGATTGCTGTCTTCTGGGTTGTTCTGCTGTGTAGTCTGGTAGATTTCCACTAGACTACATGACGCAACAACCCAGAAGACAGCAATCTTCAGACTTACCGCTGTGAAAACCTCAAATCCTACATACCCGCAATCTTGCCAAGTAAATCCTGCAGTGAAAAGCTGCCATCAGTCAAGGACAGATCATGGTCCCAAAGTCCAGCTGCTGATTGCTTTTGTTCAAGTAAGTGATATTTGTCTCTGATTCTGCCATGTGAGAGGTAAAGACGAGATAATTAGGGTATTTGCTTCACTTAAAAACAGAAACTAATGCTAGGGCCAACAGTGGAAGACATATAGAACCAAACATGTTCATGTAATATCACACCTCTCGTAACACAAACAGAAGTCAGATTAATTATTTTGAAGGGCTCCAGACTATTCTTAACCTTACCTCACCCCTGAAAGACAGACAGACATAAAAGATTCCTTCTAGTAGAGTTAACCCCATGATGCTACCAATAGGGGCTAAGGGTGACTCGAAAGGAAGAGGGGTAATACACACATTAGGGGTTGCTGGGGGGTAACAGTGATGTGAAATGTAATAATTAGCTACACCATTAAATGTAGTGGGTGCAGTAGTGAATATGGATGGTGACACCAAATGGATGAGCCTGTCAGCCAGGTCAAACCAACAGGCAGTGGTGGAATTCACACTCCTCTGACAACCTACATCATAGCAGTCACACATCCATGAGCTGTAACAAGATATTCCCAACTGCCTCATGGCCTGTAACTGAGTACTGGTACCAGTTCACTGTTTAGTCAATTCACACTGAAACCAGCTCACCACAAGTGTCAACACTTATATAATCCAAGGTTAGCTACGACAGCTCCCACAAGGCCTGAAGACTTCTGTACAGGCACAAGGACATGATAAACCCAATAAGTGCTTTTTCAGAATTTTTACTGTAGGTTGTGGATATGAGAACTAGTGAAGGATCATGCAAAGCAGCAAGCTTCAGTGTTACCTGACCCAAACCTCCAGTTATAGTAACAAGAGTCAGTGAAAAGGGATTTATAATATGACATTTTTAACTGTTACTCATTTATTCCACAGCCATGGATTACAATCTTTATTCCTAATCGAAGTGAAACAAATATGAAAGCTTTGGTCCAATAACACTTTAATTCATACACACCAGCACCCATACACTCATTTGATCACTAATGTTCAGATGAATTCCACAAAATGCAGGAACCTTTTAAGACACAAATGTGTGGCATGCAACTATAAGCAAACTGATATTGGGACTCAATGGGAAGCCAAAAATATAATGTTAAGTCTTCATACAAAGTTACACCATTTCCAAAATATACAAAAATGATGATGCTGTGTGAAATGAGTGCAGAACTGTTCTTCCATACATTCATTCATAAATTACTCTCCTAATGAAAGTTTCTATTGAGTTGCACACCCTTCCTCTGGCTGGCAGTCATGAAGGTTAGCACTTTCATATATTTCACTATATTACTAAATGAAAAAGCATTTGTACAACAAACGTTCATCCATATAAATGTATGTCATGTGACTCAGCAATGGCACACAGAACTGTAAAACTACACATTCAAATCACCCCTCCCACCCCCCTTAGTGTACTATATTTCGTAAATAAAAAAACTTGTGATATAGTTTTATAAATAGCTCAGTCTCACACTAACAAAATAATTACAACTATATATTTATATCTATGTATATATTCCGTATGTATCCTGTCTCACTGGAGCAGATAGCATATTAAAGTTTCAAAAATGTAGGCAATGGAGAAAAGGCATAAAATCATTCCATTACACTGCTACAAAGACTAGTTTAACTGGAGCACAATACTGATTTCACCACTATAGTGATAAACTGTCAGTAAATAAGGAGAAGACGATGGTGACACCCAGTTTGTGATTCTGCACTCTCAATTTGGATCACTATACTGTATCACATGTTTATGCAGCAAGTTACATTTAATTTGGCTGAACCTTGAAAAGCATTAGAACACTCAGAAATAATTTTATTTAATGTGATAGTGGAATGGACAGTCTGGCCATTATGCTGGCCTGGAAAGTTTACATTAAAATATGACTATTTCACTGTCGCAACACAGCAAGTTTCAAACAGGTCATGCTGTTGTACCGTATGTCAAATTATATTAAATTCAATCAGGCTACCTTGGATTTGCAAATAAGGTAGATTTGGTTTAGTTACCACAGATGTAAATATAACAGCCAAAATGAACTGGCTCTGAAAGCCTAATATCAGATGACACTATTTGTAAAATGGCACCACATCAATGTTGCCTGAAAATCTAAATAATTCAAACAACTAATTATGTTTTAAAGTGACCAATATCTGATTAGTACATACCACTTACACTTTTCAACACACCAACAAAATAAGTATATATGAAATGAGTAATTCCATGAATATAAGTCCTTGTCCAGGAGCAATTTGGAGTCTCAAATGCTACCCCACTTATGTCCCTTGCCTGCAAGACACAGGTACATGGTTGTGTGGGAATGTGACAGACTAGTTACCATTACACACCTATGACAGTTTCAACTCAGCCCTTCTTCTCCACAGACTCCTTTAAGTCTGTGACAGTCTTTTCAAGGACTTCAAGCCAATCCATGTCTTCCTGCTCCTCAACAGGAGTTGAAAGTTCATCTGCTTCTGTTTCCTTCGAACAACCTGCTGATGATGACGGGGATGACGATGACGATGATGAAGATGCAGAAGTTGATGCTGAACCTAATGCAGCTGATGCTGTTGGCGGAACTTTTGAGCCGTCATTATCCTCTTTTTGTAGGCTTAATTTACGTTTCTTTGATGGAGTCTCATCTGTAAAATCAACAGCAAAATGCTTAACCTGAAATGTATCTTCTGTAGACATATTCATGAGTCGCCTCTTCATATTTTTTATTTACATAAACACAAGCATGTTTACACACACATACACACATGATGGACTCAAATGATGATAATGTCAAAATTCTCTGACTAAGGCAGTTACTTTAAAAAATTTCAAGACCACCCTTAAAGCAATAAATTTATAAAAGCCAATGAGATGAGAGCAATGGAAAACCAACATACTGGAAAACTATTACATAGACCCCAGAAAGAAACAGTTTTTAAATGAGTAACTCCATAATGCAATGCAAAGGTCAATTTCTTTGTAAAAAAAGATTCAGGCATTTCCTTCCATTAACCAAAATTGCTAGTCTATAAAAAGAAACAATACCATAACAGTTTGTAAGGAGGAGCAGTAAAAACTGGAATATCTCAATAAATAACAGACAACCAATCCCCAAATTACCAAGGAAAAATGTGCTGGATCATCAAAATATAATCAAAATCAATGCCAATAACACACTAAATTCTATGAACTACTGTGGTACAGGAAGATGACGAAGAAAATAACATTATTATGTTCATGCTACGTAACAGCATGTTGTCTGTTCCATTCATATCCACGTGCATGTAAAATTTATCAAATAACCATGCTTAATAAGATACCTTCCTAAGATGTCTATATTCAAATGAGCTCTTTTTTACTATTATAAACTTAGAGAATGATGCATATTCTTAATCATTTTCCTGTCTGTTTTTCTAAAAAGTATCATAAATCCCTCACCAGTTAAATCCGCTTCAGCAGTCTGCTTGCGTGCAAGCTTTGTCTTCTCTAGCAAAGCATCAATTGTGGAGATAAGTTCTTCTGATGGTGAAAGGGGAACGTCCGAGTTGTACACAAGGGCCAAGGCTCGCAAATCACCATTCAACTTATATGCGGTGGCCTGTACGTTTACTTGGCTCATTATATCTGACAGAGACGATATCAGATTCTCAATCAAATTACAAGTCTGCTCTGTCAACACATGTGCTGCTACCTGTGAAAAAATGTGCTACTGAAAACAACTGGACATATGAGTTTGTGACAAATCAGAATTCCATGTCATTCAAATGTCTTTAACAAAAATAAATCTCTTTTTCAAACACAAAATACAAGTGCATTTTCAGCTGTCAAAGGACTGAAATTTGTAGTTCCAGTTTAGCACTGCTGAGTAAGCTGTCCAGTCTAACATACTGTCATGAAATATCATTTTTCAACATACAAAGAAGTTACTTAAAGATATTAACAACTGCAGAGACTGTCACCCACCTATGAAATAACAACATATGTTAATAATTCTCTAAATAAAGAAGCCCTATATACTGTCCAAAAGCTGCTGAAAATTGATGTTTGGGAATTACACTGTATTTGTCCCCCACAAATAGTGGGTGTGTCATTTATTAGGTGATTTTAAAAATCTTACACCGTACCTTGAAAACCACCATTTTTAAACTGTCAGCTGCAACTAATAGAGAAATTTCAATGAAAAGATATTTCTTGTTATATACTGAAGGTGTTGTTACTACAGTATGCAGAAAGGTTACAAACATGACATGATGTAAGAGGAAGTCATCTCTAATATCCATCTCACTCTATTTCACTAAATAACTAGTAAAATATACGGTGTTATACAAAAGTGACATAAATCATCCAAGTGGAGTTTGGGATGAAAAACTTGCAACTGAAACTGATTACCTTTGGGAAGTACACTGATAGGAAGTTGTAAATGATGCCATTGTTGAGACATGACCTTTCATCTAACAGCACAGCCTCCACATAGTCAACAAAGTAATTACTGTTTGTCAGCATCATTATGTACTTCCTGTCCACATGCTGTAATGTCCAAAAACACAGTATGAATTCCTTCACATAACAGACCACTTACTGAAACTGTACTAAATACTACAAAATAATGGTTTCTTACCCAAACCATACATACAAGTTTCTTTTACACCCATTAAAATAAAAGTGTATGTCAATTACCTTAAGAAAATAAAAGCTGTCCCTTTAGAACACTATGGTAACTATATGTACCATCTGCTGTAACATTCAATAACTCTGTATTCTGCACACAGTGTATTTATAGGATTGGTGTAATTTTCAGAATAAACGAAGGTTACTTCCTTAAACGACAAAAACCAACCTATCAACATTAATTTTATCAAAACTTTTGAAACCACATCAAATGCAGATGCAATTTCATACTGTTCACAGACACCTACTACTGTACCAACAATTTTACCTGAGCATGGTGTATATCCAGCCACAGTTTGGGGAAATAGGTGAGATGAAGGGGAACACCCTCAAAGCCAACCATGGCACTCAGGTTCACGAGCGCCTCAGACATGCAGTCATTGTTAATAGCGAGGCGACACATGACATCAATAAAATCGTGGTATGGTGAATAGAACTCAAGCAGTGCTTTATCATAGTCAGGATCAACACCCTACGGAAAAATAAAAGATTGTGTATAAAATGCATAGTTGGTAGCATGAATATCAATCAGAAATGTTTCTGTTTATGCATGCTTCAATTACAACTCAAAACATATCCATCCTACATTTGACTTACGGATTATACTTCTGAAGTGGCAGGGTCCACAGGACAGGATTTTATTTGCTCCTAATGATAAGATGATGTCCAGCAAAAGGAATGTACCATTAGATATGTGTTCTCAACCATGGTAAGAATTCTCACATTGAAGGCACAATGACTAATTCAATTAACCTCAAACCCAACACCTCTGGCAAAGAAATCCAGCTTATCCAAGGCAAATGCATTAAACTTTTTCAACATCTCAACCTCTTGCCTGTCTGCAACTCCAGCTATATTTAAATGGCAACCTACATCTTCAAAATTTTGTACAGCTGTCAGAGTGCCTGACTGTGTCACAAAGACAATGTTAGTTAACAAAAAGTGAAAACAAGTCTTTTTCCTGGTAATTTATGCAATAAATGCAAATAAGAATACTTCTAAAGTTCCTTGTATATGGAGATATACAACACTGCAAACATCATGGGAATATCTACCATTATAACTCAGAAAACTTTTCTGGTAACATTTGTGTCAATACTTAGATCATTCAACCACCACAAATAATATAAATTTGCTTGCTGACTTTAAATACAATTTTCTAGCAGTTATGGACCGTACTCATTCTTAAAATTGGATACTTAGTTTCTATGAATCTAACTTCATAGTAGCAGGTAAAGGTCTATTATATAGCAAAGAATACAGACATTTGAAGCTGAAAGAATATGAATTTCATTCAGTTGGCTATATGTCTAACATCTAAGTAAAATAAAAAAATTACAACCTTAGCAGCTTCAAGCTGACCATGAGGAACTGCCATCTGTACCATGGGTCTTGATGGACGTGTGCCAGTCTTCAGTCCCAGAGCAGGCATTTTGTGTCCTCGACGAGGAAAGTATGGTCCCATTGGCAAAGCATTGTGACTTTCTTGGAATGCTGCATGGCAGTGAGATAACAAGGGCACCAACACTTGTATGACTTCTGAGGGTAGCAGCATCAGGATCTCCTTTAAAACCTCTGAGGATTGAAACAAATATTTCCATCACAACCTGGGAATGTTGCAAGAGTTCTTTGCAGTTTTTCATACCTTACCAACCTTAAGATAAAAAGTCTGTGACACCAGTCAGTTCCTCAGCTGAAATTCAGACTGAGAAACTTCCAAACACAAAGCAGGAGCAATGAATGCCACAGGTGGTAAGGATGTGGCATGGACTGAAGCGGCTAAGGACACGAGTCTTAAAGCAAGTGAAACAATGATGAAGGTTTCAAAATCTTACAGACACTCTACAGGAAATTCCTGTATGTGATAAACACAAACAAAATAAAAATCCAGACCTGAAAGTTTTGTGAAATGAAAGGAAGAGGGTCCATACAATGGGAACTACAATCTACAATGTTTACCGATGCATGAGGCTCGCATTTCAGATGAGTTATATGTGTTCAGCAGAGTGGCTAATTTACGCAGAACTTCCACCCACTCCTTTGTACCCAGCAACACGCCACGCACATCCTTGTTTTCACGGTACACGCGCAGACATTTCATCAAGTCTAACAGTATGGACAGCAGTTCCAGCAGATCCCCTGACACATGGCAGGCAGTGGCTTCATGGTACATCACGTGCAAAGTGTGGAAAGCCTGTAAAACATTTATAATAAATAATTACAACAGAGGGACCTCCAAATTACAAAATTCACCAGGCCCAGGTGTTTGGACACTATGGTGTGTATACCAATAACTCTTTGCCTGAGCATCATACCTCAAAGGCTCACCGAGGCCAAGCAGATAATAAATACTCCTCTATGAATTCCAAATGTCATCAGAAGATGGATACAGTCATTTTACACTATCGCTGATTTTACCCCAGGGTAAAAAGTCCTGATATTCACTGGGCAGGATGCTTAAACTACAACTGATGCCCATGTTTAGTCAGTTACTGGTAGCTTTATTGAGCATTTATTATATACACTTAATCATAAGACAGAAACTCTTAAAATAGCTACATTTAGGTAATATGAGGGTCCAATCAAAGATAGCCATGGCTGAAAAAAAAATTTAGTAATGAATGATTCTTGGTTTATTTAACAAAACATTTTCAACTGTATAGGTTGCACAGTGTCAAACGAAAGGATGATATCAGTGCAGCTGAGATTCAAACCTGGGCATCACAAATGCACAGCAGTAGCACCAACCACTTGACTGTGACATAAAATAATCAGTTTCAGCCTTTATTCTGTCCTTATATAAGACATTTATACAGCTATACAATGACAATGATGTGTTTCTACATGTTTTGTGCATGCTTTCCTCACAGCTCATAAAATAATTAAAAATTACTTGCCTCAAATGCCATCTGCAGTCCACCATTATAAATTACATACATTCTGTCATCATCATGATCTATGAGAGAACGGAAAGCTAGAATTAACGTTGCCCAGCAAGATCTACTGTCCAAAATCTGCAACAAACAAATGTTTCATATTTTAAAAAACTGTCATTACTACACAGTCAGCGAAAAGCATTCAGGATGTGAAAGCATTTTACAATTTGAGCAGTTAGACAATAAATTAAAAAAAAAAAAAAAGAGAGAGAAATTTGAAGTAATTTTATGGCAGCTGATAAGAAAAACTGACATGTTACTACAGGTCCCTCCAGATCAAATTTGGAGGAAATATGGCACATTCAGAATGACACACTATAGAGAAACAGATGAGGAAGAAAAGTTTCTTTATGAAGAATTCAGGAAGAACAATGCAATACAGATAAAGCACAAAACAAAAATATTTCTTGCTATGTGAATAAGTATCTTAAGGCTAGCTATAGAGTCTTAATCTTAAACTTGTTGAACTTATAAAGTGTTGGAGATGTTGAATACATGTTTAATGTGTCACAAAACTCACTCATACTAACCTCCTTACAGTCCAAAGTCTGACACATAACAAACTGACTAGTGATGAAAAAATGCAACTTTGCCATGCATCACATTTGTTTTTGTTTTTTTGCCAGCAATAAATCCCATTTTATATTTTTCATTAAGTGGAATAATGTTGTTCTAATACCACTGATATATGAACGTATCCAGTACTGAGGCAAAAGCATCTATAAAAAGTCTCACGCTCATGAAGTTTTACTTCTGCTATAGGTAACTGAAGCAAGAAATATGAAAAAATTTACAAAGGATGTGGCCAGTCTTGACCTCAAGACCTTTAGTATAAAATTTATCAAGTACCTTACCATCAGATCACAAATTTGCTACTTAAGTCTTGTGGCACATTACCTGAAGATACAGTTGCAAAGTCTGTTTCTTAAAAGCATTTATTTCATGTATCTCCTGCTCTGTGCTATCTGGAAACTTCACGACAAAAAGCTGGATCAGCTTAAACAGCTCATCCACAGCCTGAAACCAACAAAGGCAGAATTCAATGTCATGTGAGCCAGGGACAGCATATATTAGTTATGTGATTTATAATCACATATTCTGATGGCTGCAGAGCATGTCTGTCCAGATGACATTAGCTAATTTTAAAGCTATAAAATTAAACTGCATGTTGAAATAATTTACTTATTAGAGAACAGTTATAGTAAATTCAAGAAGGCTATCTTCTGCGCTGTTGCCAGAAGACAGCCATCGTCAGACTCACTGCTGTCAAAACCTCAAATCCTACATAGTAAATTTATATGGAAGTTTTGACCCAATTTTGAGGCATTCATGTGAAAATATATGAATCAATTTCATATCTGTATTTTAAGTAGGCACAATTTAACAGTAAGCTAATGAGTTAACACATTAACCTTCACATATCTACCATGACAAACTGACTGACTGATTCTTAGGTTATCTGATAATTCTCTTTCAAGTACAGAGGTTGCGTAGCACTGAATGAGATGGAAACATGAGCATGAATGATTGACCATTCTATAATAGTAACACTAAGTACAGAATTACATGAACTTACAGCACTGTATTGAGTAGGATGTGGTGTAATGTTCTTGAATGCCCAGTGCAGATTCTGGTGATTAGCCAGCTGTCGAGTGAACGTGCGAGACTGCAGGCAGCAGAGTCGAAGTAACCCATAATATGCAGGTAACATACCACGGTTGAATAACACAACATCCTGGTCTTCATGATCAGCACTGCAAGCAAGCAACATTTTCCTACCGTTTTGTCTCTCTGAAGGCTACACGTAACAGACTCTATGGGTGGTCTCTTTCCTTTAAGGTTACGCGTAAGTAGCTTATTAAAGTATGTTAGAAAATATTTTAAACACAAAATGATTAAGAATCTGGTGATCTAGAAATAAGGTATTGTTCACCCATGTCAAAAGTTTCAGGTTCAAGACCTGGCCAAATACTGTACAGATATTTGTATTTAACCTTTACTCTCACCTTTTGTAAAGCCAAAACTGTCAGAATATGTTGATTTTATACTTATTTCAAGTAGCAAGTATTAAATCCAGATCAGCACATAGTTCAGATACAAATATTACTTTTCCAACATTAAACAGAGAAGGTGATAAATTAATTTTCTAAGATTATTCAAACTGTGGTAAAAGCTAGTGTCCTAAAACTCAGTAGTTACACTGTACTGTTATAACACACTCACAGTATGTAGTTGAATGCGATGTTCTTTGTGACATGAGCATTCTGAAGTATAAGCTGCACATTTTCGGGACAATCTATGCACACATGGTGCCAGAACAACAACAATGCTTGCTTGTTATGATGGACGGGGATCGATGGCTCAGAAAGCTTGGGATGGAACAGCTGCCACAGGTCCAAGAAGTACTGGCCAAACTGTAATCAGTAAGGACAAAAGATATTTGCAGCATAATGGAAAATAACAATAAAGCAGAGGACAGCAAGAGGAAGAGGTATATAAAATGAAAGAAAAGACAAGAAAAATAAAAATGGAAAAAGAAGACGAAATTAAGAAAAAGATTAATTTTGTTTTTCAGTAGAATGATGTACAGAGCAAACCTATCCAAACTAACAAACAGATAATACGGATACTTACCATAAGTTTCTCAGTCCGAGAGATGATGCAATATGTAAGGAGAGCAAAGTATGCAGTGAGTTTCATTGTACCATGAGTCTGAATGTCAGTATAGTGTCGTGCTGGTTTCAACAAATGCAACAGAACAGTGTACACCTGATGGAGCACTAACTGTGCTTCTGATGCAATCAACATTTCCTTGTGTGGGCTGGCAAGGGTGCGAGCTGTCCGATATCCTTGCCTGAAGTGTGGGCTTGGAATAAGAGATACCAGAAGGTATGCAGCAGCTGAGAAGGAAAAAGCAATGTTAGCAATACCAATCAAAAGCACACTTTCAAGTATGGTATGTTTCTAACATGTGTACATAAATGTGAGTCCAGAAATGTATCTCAATGTTATTAAAAGTAGCTATGTTACTATAAGTTGCAGATTCTTTCTTGAATAGTCAATAATTAATCAACTGCTTTATGAAACTCAAAGGTTCACATCCATGTTTACCGAATCCCACTATCTGTCCAATCCAGTTCAACGTCTTTACAAATTTTTCTCCTAGACATATTTTAATATTATCACCCCATCTAAGACTAGGTCTCTCAAATTGTCTCTTCTCTTCAGATATGCAAATAACACTTTTATAATACACTGAATTTTTATGGTGAGAAGTTAATAGCCTCCAACCAAACCTTCAAGGTAAATGACCACATCTTGTCAGCTGTCTGCAACTCCTAGCTACCCTCCACATTTGGAGGTCTTCTCCTCCTCTGACTGCAATGTCAGGACATGCCAAGCAGTGATGATTAGGGAATGTACATCAGGTATTTATGGATTTCAAGAAACACTATTATGATTCAGTTAGGGCAAAAGTATTGTGTAAACATTCTCGATGAACATGACATACCCACGAAATTAGCCAGGCTGATTAAAGTGTGCACAGAGCTCACCTGACCGCACCCGCTGGTTATTATGACCCAACAGGAAGTGTTCCACCCATGTCTCCATGCTCTGGAGTACCCACGAGTGAGCGAGTTTGTTGCGAGGTACCTGTACAGCCAACCAATCAAGGGCACTCTGAGGACAGAATTCTGCAACTTCCCATATCCTCTGAAGAACCAGCTGTGTGAAACAAGGAAGACCAGATGGACCACTTGAAGGCTCTGTGATTAGAGTCAGCAGCTTGAAGAATGGCTGGCAGATCTGATAATTCAGACAAAAAAGTAATTTCAATGTGCATTCAGTTCTTAGCCAGCTCTGTGTGAAAATTATTCTGATCACAGATTGAAGCCAAAGACATAACTCTGAAAATCTGAAGCAGGAACCCACCAAAACAATCCACACATTCAGCAATAACCCACCATCTACTTACTTCTGTGTGTTTTGTAATAGCCTGAAATATCATTGCTACAATATGGATGGCCAGCCTTTCATTCCAGCGACACAGTGCATATATTAAGTTCCTAGTCTGGTGTAAGTTGATGCAGTCTTTGATCTGCTGGAAGAGAAATGGGAATCCCTGTAACAAGAATAACAACAATATTTACCAACATATTTATTAAGAATCCATTAAGATATTTCCTCAAGAAGTTTAATAGTAAAATAAAACCTTAATAATTTGGAATAATGGGGGAAATGAACATGTAGCACACAAAGAGATGAAAAATGCCCACAAACATTTGATAAGAAATCCTCAAGGAAAGAAAGCACATAAGAGGTATACATGTGTAGATGACAAGATAATATTCAAATGGATCTTAACATACATAGAGTGTGAGGATGTAGACTGGACTCAACTATCTCAAGATAAGGTCCAGAAGTGGATTTTTGTGACTATGGCAATAAACCACCAGATTCTATACAAGCAGGCTACTTCTTGACTAGATGAGGAAGTACAAACTTTTCATGAAAGATCCCGCATCATAAGGTTGCAGGATCAAATCAGCCTGACAACTGATCTAGTACAAATTTTTACACGGAAGAACATAACAGAACTTGCCTTTCCTCCAGCAATTGCATTAAAGTCCTGAGTTGATAACTGCAGCAGGTGATCAGAGCCCCGTGACCTCTCCACCAACGAAGCTACTAAAGTAATCATCTTCTCTAGAGATGCAGGTTTGTATTTATCTGTGGGCAGTGGAATTACATCTTCTTCCTCATCTTCCTCACTTACAACCTCCACCTGTAAAGACATTACAGATCAGTGATCAGTGCTGATATATGAAGAATGTTAACAAAGAGACATCCTACTTAAGACAACAGATGGATTAAGTTAGTATATCTTCCACTAAAGATAACACCTTTCTGTTGATATTCAAAGAACAGCCATGCTTTGTGAAGTAGACTTTATATAAGAGTACAGTGCACTAGTATCATGCCACAGGAATGTTAATGAAGTCAGTACCTGAATGTTTCCTTACATATTCAAGCTGCACATATAGTTCAGAACATCCACATCAAAATATAACTTCTAACTAAATGCAGTAACAGCAAATTTGAGATTTGATGTTCTCATGAAATTGAAGATGTGCTGATCTGAGATGCTCATCATCTTCAGGACTGTGAAGATGAAGGAAGTATGTTCCTCCAAAAAGTTGGTACTTACCAAAGTCTGCAAGGCATTACAACCCATTAAGACCAACAATGTCAAAATTTTGTTGTTTATGAATGTAGCCCTCATTAGTCTAGTGGCAGCATGCTTGCCAATGGACCCAAGGTTTGCAGGTTCAAACCTGGCCAAGGTCAATGGATTTTTAAGGGTGATAAAAATCCGTAGCACAACTTCCTTCGGAGGAGAAGGATAGTCGATGATCCCATGTCGTAGATTTACAACACGTAAAAGAACCTTACAAGCATGAATGAGAAATTCAGTGGCTGTTTCTCATCCATGTCTCTTCTGATTTGCTACTAGAGGGCTCTAGCAAACAAACAAGAAATGAGTAAAAATTGTTCGGAGGCAGCAGGCTTGTCACCTGCTACTCTAAGGAACTAAAAAAGACTAATAAGACAAGCTGCCTTGAGCAATTGTCCGGAACAGGCCAAGGGCCCAATCCTTGGTAGGAAGATGATAATGAATGTAGCCACTACAAAACTTGTGTTCAAGGAAATGATGATAAAAATTTGAATGAGGCAATGGTACATTTTTTATTCACAAACACAGTGATTGCAAATCTTGTATCCATGAATGAAGTGGTGGAAAATTCTTTAAAATCACTGTTACATATCACCTCTTTTGAAGTAATACCTTACATATTTTTAAAATGTATTTATACACAAGAATGATTATTAATTTTCAGAAACTGTGAACACTGGGTCATTCTTTTTCCCCAGAAAAGCATAAAGAAGAGACACATTTAGTTACTCTTAACCTAAACATAATGTGTGTTCTGCCAATGGAATAACGCATTAACCCACCCATTACTGTTTCATCATTATCAAATTCTACATGACAGTAGTTTCCCTCTGATTGCTGTATAGAAATTCACGGTCTGTAGAATGTGACAGTTTACTATGAGCACAATATTAAAGTTACTTACATAGTCCTGAGCTTTCTGTCCTAGATAGAAGTTGACCATTGAAGATACAGCATGGACAGAAATAAGGAATTGGCTCTCCTCTTCACCCATTTTACTGAACTCATTAAGGAAGGCAAAGTATTCTGTCAGGTGTTTCAAGTGGGCCTTGGCACCATGCTCCATCTGAAATGTTAAGAAGTTCATTACAAACTGAAAAGCAATAGGAATATGACAAAGTTCAATTGGGGTTTTCTATGAAGTAGGGATTGTGCACTAAAATTACATTTGCCTGGCATTTTAGCATGGGCAACCCACTCCAGTACTAAATTTGATTGAAACTATCCCATAGTTTGGAGATGAAACACAGAATTGACACACAACTCACCACACATTCCATTTATGCTCTTTGGACAAAGAACATATAACAACAGTATAAAAACAGAAGTAAGTTTCAGTTTTATTTATTATTTATTTAGTGTTCTGTCTGACAACAGGTCCATATGAACAGGATCCTTCCATCCTTTTCTCGGACTGGGACCTGTTCATATACGTTCTTGGCAGATGATCCAGAAGTGGTTTGCCATTGCCTTCTTCTGTGTGTGAATGGAGTAATTGTTGGGATGCCACGGAGAAACCGGGGAAGCCCCCGGAGGAAAACTCCGTGTTGCCTAGACCACGGCCTTGCCCAACACAAGTTATAAATTCGGGCACCACCGGGAATCGAACCCAAGACCCCAGGATTACAATGCCAGTAAAGTAAAATACATGCAAGTTTCAGTTGCATGTATTTTAATTTAGAATTATATTAAATAGTGTGATCTGGAAATAAATGACTCAGCATTGAAATGGGAGAAAATTGTTTTTCCCATGAATGTATGAGGTGAACTGTCTTATATTCAAGTAAATTTCAATAACATTTTTACCAATGAAAGCAACATCTTGATGAACATTGTGACACAGGAATGTGTCCCAACCTTCCTAGAATCTGATTCTTCTGGTCCTTCATCATCAGAATCTGCCTTCAAGTACAGTGGTGCATGATTCTGCCTACAAAGAAAAAATGCAGATGGCACTCAAGAGAATATTTCCAACACAGGAAACAAATGGTCCTGTAATATACATCTAAATCCACATCAGTGGCAACATCATTCTAAGCAAAGCTAAATAAAGATAAATAAATGGAAGTTGGGTTGTTGCACCATGAGATATTCTGGCTATGTACCAACATTTTAGAGGAAAACACTGCCTCTGTCATCAGGGGTGAAGTAAGAACTGATGGGAAACGTATGGTTTATACAGATAGATGGATCAGGCTGTGGGGACTGGCCAGTCAGAGTCAAGAAATGAAGACTGGAAATTAGGATGATGTTTAATTTATTTTGTTCTATGATGATCCTGTCCATTTAAAAAATGCTTGGCCATGATACTGGCATCATTTAGCATCATACGTTGATGCTATATTCAGTCTTCAACACATAAGTCTATTTTCTTATTTTTAAATAAACATAATCACAGAATAGTATGATTACTAACCGTAGCCTCTGAATAACATGGATGCAGAGTCTTTGAAACATCTGACGAACCATCTGATTCGGGCACTTGATCAGAATTTGTACTGGCCACCACTCACTGTGTGCCATATGATCCAGGAACCACTCACAAGCTGCCTGTGATGCATTAAACTGTTTTGTCAACAGCTCCACCCACTGCACCATTGTTGGCTGAAACATCACGTAACAGCTACAGAAATCAACTTGCCACATCACCATTCATTATGGCTGGGATATACCATTACCACCATTATCAGGGATTAAAAATTATGAAAAGTTCTACTCACCAAACTAAAAATTCAATCACTGTCACAAAGTCTTTGAAAAAATTCCCTGCTAATCAGCAATATACATCTTATTAACTTTAAACTTCTTAAAGAAAAAAAAAGTGACTTTATACAATGTTGTTGCTACTTCTGTGAAGTTGGTTCCCCATATAAATGACAACAGAACAACACCAAATTTTAAATTGCATTAATATTATTTCTAACTACTGTAATATGCACATTTGAATCATTATTACTTTCCTCTGTGGTTGCTACAGGAGAAAATGGCTACAAAGATACTGCCAATGTATTAATAACAATTAAAACTGGCTAAACTGAAACAAATTCCATTAATGTAAATGACTACAGTGGCATTCTAATCACAAAATCAACTAGCCCAAGCGGAGTACAAGCCTTGATAACCAATTCCAACAATTTTAAAAATTACACAAACTTCTTCAGTGTCAGAACACAATACTTTACCTTTTCTTTGGCATGAATAAAAGTCTCTATGAAGAATGATGTTGACAGCTGTGCAGAAATTTCAGTGAAGTCCTGACCCTGGCTCAACAGTGTTTGCGGAATGTAGCCACAAACTTGCCACATGAAGCTTTAAATGAAGAGAAACAATATTATATTCCTCTGAAATTCAATTCAGTTTGAACATACAAAATATTTCAATAAAAACTGAAATTAAATAATAATATTTTGACTTAAGTGAATTTCATAATCCATTATTTGCCCAGGTTGCAAAATCTCAAGGGGAGTCAAATTAGCATTTACAAAGACATATAGGTCAGACAGGGTATAATTTTGATGGGGAAAACCATAAACAAACCAACAACTTTAGGGTCAAGAAATATATGGAGGGATAACATTAAGATGGATCTCACAGAAATAAGTTGTGAAAATGGGAGGTCAATGGAACTGGCTCAGGATCTTTTTCAATGGTGTTTGAGCCACTGAGTGCTACTAACATTGAGTTTGTAAGCTATACGCTGGCAAGTAACACCAACTTACTTGAAGTACGTATGTTCGAAGATATTCTTGTCCTTTAAGAAGTGCATGTTGTCCTGCCAGATCCAATCCTCAAGCTCCTTACTCAGTTCAAAAGTTGGACAGCTCTGCTGCTGCTGCTGCTGCTGCTGCTGCTGTTGCTGCAAGCTAGGGCTACAGTCAGAGCTAGATTTAGGTTCCAGGGAAATTGCTGAGGCAGGAGAGGTGGATTCTGGATCACTAGTCTCCTCTTTTGCACCTCGCTGTTCTCCATCACGGCTGCACCATTCATAGAATAACATGTACGCGCTGTTTGTCTTCTCAAAGCTGAAGTCCATGAACTTGTCCGTTACCGAGTCATAAGTTTTACTCTATAAAACACAACTGGCCATCAGATAAGCACTCACTTTGTAATGAAAAGTGTTTTACACAAATGAAGCTAGGAAAATGCACTCTTGCCACATAAAATATTAATGCACAAAAGAACAATCTGTTAATCTTTAATCTGAGTGATGGGATCTAATTTATCATCAATCATACTAAAAGCTATTATTTTACCATTTGTACTAAGCTTGTTCAAACCATGACCTGGGGACTGGCTATCCCAACTGATGTCTTTCGTGGTTTTCTTTGGTCCCTCCAGGGAAATGCAAAGATACTGCCTTAAATTAGGCCATGACCACTGCTTTCCATATCCTTTCCAGTTCATTAATCATCCTATCATTCAACACTATATAGTCTGAGCTGCTGACAGCATCATTAAATAAAAGCACATAAATAACAAATTTTTATTATGTTAATAAGATCATATACTTGTTCTCATTGTCAGCAACTTATTTCTTGGTCAATAAATCTAAGTTCTTAAACAAATCCTATTTTAGATATAGATCAGCCAACTACCACTGTTTAAAAATTCTCACATTATCTTTAACTAACTGCACAGGCTACAGTCCTTCTGAGAAGCTGACAGTCACTAAGCTGGTCAAAGGTTCATTATCATTTTTACAACACCCCACCAACAAATTTCACCTCGGGCTGTATGAATCCATTCCATATCTTTACTCATATTTATTTGAGATCTACTATTACTACTCCATCTGTGTCTAGGTCATCCAATTGGTCTCTTCCCCACTGTTCTCCAACTACATAATTTCTGTTGACTTGATCAACACAATATTTTGTAAAGAGCACATATTATAAAGTTACTCACTGCATAAGTTTCTCCAGTTGTCTGTTATTTCCTCTCTTTACTACCCTATTTTTAAAGCTTCTATGTATATTTCTCCTTAACGGTGAGATACTCAAGTTTAATGTTGTTATATGGCACACTATAATATCTACTTTTACAACAGTACAATCATATTTCAAAAAAGAAATTTGTGAAAGTGTGGGCACTAGTACAGCTCTGTTCCCAAAACTTGAAGAGAACAAAAATGTATTTTTGCTGAACAACATTTGTCTACCAGTGCATTGGGAGATTCACTGTTCTAAAATCACAGTGAATCAGGGTGTCACTGGGAACTCAGTGAATACAGTAAAATCTCATTAGTCTATTTTACATGAACTTTCATCTCAAATAAACATACAAATGAATCCTCAACAAAAACTACAATACAAATAGAGTATAGTGGAACAGCTCTACTTTACTAATTTTCTCAAAGTGGCAATTTTTAACAATACCCGATGACTAAATATCATGGCAAAGTACAATTTAGAAAATTAATATGTATAATATCCCATGAAGTCCATAATAATTACACAAATGTGATGAATCAAGAACATATAAACACAAAAATTTACAAATGAGAAAAATATATGATCAGTTCCAAAAGTACTTTTTTAGTATTAGTCACCAGAAGCATGCAGGAATGAGACTTCACTGTATTCATTAAAATGTACTATCAGAGCTAACTGAATGTCATGAACTTACCGTCATTTCTCCCCCAAAGCATTCAGCTGCAATTTGATTTGGATCAAAAGGTTTGACTTCTGCATCGTTGAACAGGAACCACTTATCACGATTCGAAGTAGTGCGGTCCCGAATAAAACTATAATAATGACCACCATCTGCTGTACCCGTATGCACTGTTACGCCTATTAGGTCATACTCATAACACTCATTAAAGTCCTCAGAATCTGAATCTTCACAGTCTTCCCTTTCTTCTGTCAAAAGTTTTGACAAGTCAGATTTACTACAGTCACTATTACTTGATGTAGACACAGTTTCTTTCACTTCCTTTGAATGTTCCGATTTACGCAACTGAGACTTTCTTTTCTCCTCTGTATACAAAATAAACAACACTTTTGCACAAACATTCCTTTCAATGTCCATGAGTATACAAAAAGCTTTCAGTGATAATTATAAACAAATAACAAAAACAAATTGATGTCAATATGAAGATTTCTGTCTTCTGGGTTGTTGCGCTGTGTAGTCTGTGTACTGCCTCCATCATCAGGGCGATCATCGCCCTGATGACGGAGGCAGTATGACCTCTGAAACGTTGGTTAACATCGACCAGACTACACAGCGCAACAACCCAGAAGACAGAAATCTTCATACTCACCACTGTGAAAACCTCAAATCTTACATGATGTCAATATCTATGTAAAACAGGTGACCAGACAGAATGAGAGATGAACATCATGTAGTTTGGTGGCCAGTGACCAATTACAAAAGTTGAAGCTCATTTTGTTATCAACTTTAAATAAATTTACCATATAAAAACTATTTTTTCACACAACAATTATGCATTTAATGTAAAGGTTGACACAACTAACTGATTGATCAGCCCAATTAATCCAGTTGAGTCTTCTTGAGAGATCAGTTGCATTCATAAAAACAGATGTTTCAAAGACTACCTCAATCCCTGAAATGACGGATTTTTACTTCATATTGACACAGCTAATTGCCCAAGATGACTTCATCACATTTAGATGTAATGTAAATTTTAGATGGCTGTCTTCTGGGCTGTAGCGTGTGTAGTGTGATAAAAGCTTACCTTCTACCAGACATGGTGCTACAGCCCAGAAGACAGCCATCTATACTATCTAATGCAAAAATTTGATGCAAGTAATATGTGGATAAATGTGGTACATACAACATTATAAGACATACCTTGATAATGTTGTGGCATGAGATGCTTTTCAACATAACCTGACATATCCAGTCTCAGCGGAAATGAGAAGTGAGTGTTAACTTTCTCTTTAAGCATTGTGACCATGTTAAAAGTATATCTCATTGTGTTGAAACACAGAATATGTGGTAGCTTCTTGAAGCAAGCCCTTTAAAGGAACAACAGAACAAAGACAGATTATCATCAACAAACCTGAAACACAATGCTCACAGGACACACCACTTTTGAAATGCTACAGTATTCATTCACCTACCACACATTCATATTTTATTAGAGGCCAAAACAGAGTGAAACTTTCATACAGGAAAATTCAGGGGCCAAGACTTTTTATTTTGTTGACATTCTTTACAAAGAAATATGTAAAATAGTTAGTGTTCACTTCTCTATCTCTGGTCTGCTTGCTAAGCAGTCATAACTTGTTTCAAAGCGCAAAACCATTGCAATATAATAGAGAAACCCAACATCACAGTGTAGTGCATAACACTAAAGCTTCACATTCTGGAGGTTACAGGATCAATCTCAGCCCTGTGAGCATTATCATAACTGAGGCCTTTCATGTTCTTCCTCAGTCCCTTCAGTCATATACTTGGTGATTATCTTAAAAAACAGGTCATGGTTCTAACAGTGAGTAAGGTGGTAATGGTAATAAAATTCTTGATCATTGTTTCTGAAATAATTTTATATTAATGTTCAATGAATATAAGGATCTTTAAGTATGCTACAGATGCAAGATGTTGAGTTGTTTCTTGGAAAACCAAGAAACAACTCAACTTCATTTGATGTGCATGCATCTTTCATAAATGTAATACAGGCTTTGACAGTTATTCCCTGCTCTTGTAGATAAAAGTAACAAATATCAGCGTAAAACAACCTTGAAGTTATTTAGTGAACACCCTTCATGCTGAAAAGTGGCACTGAACCAACACACATTAAACATCACTCACCTCTTCTCTGCACGAACTTTCTTCCCACACTGTGAACAGGTGTACATGTTGTCACCCTCAAGTGTATCCTTTACAGTCACTTCATCCAGCGATTCATACAAGTTACGCATGTCAGCTACTTGGCAACGAACGGTATAAAACTCTTCCAGTGTCCGGCTCACATGTTCACAGTCCTTTATGTAAAAGAAAAATGGTGTGAGTGGTATATGCAGTTCTAACATCACCATACTTCATATCGCATGAGCATTATATGTAGCAAATATCTTCAATTCCAATTTTTATCTTTTAGAACCAAAGGAAAATGACAATACTGACTAACTCCATGGAACACAGACTTCTTGAAGAGTTGATAGTCACTCACCTGGCCAAAAAAAGTCTTAGCCTTTCTTTTATTGAATCTGAAGGTTCAATATGTCCACAAAAGCCAACCAATCCTTGAACCCCACCGAGGCAAATCAACCACTCTCTCTAAAGATACAATTAATATTATCATCTCATCTACACCTAGGACTCTTCAACTAAAAATTTTCAGGAAATTGTATATAAATTTCTCATTTCCCCCATTCATGCTACATATTCTGCCCACCTCTTTCTCCTTGATTTAATGATCCAACAATAGTGCATAATAACAGACATTGTGATTGTCTTGAAGACTTGTAGGATTATGGAAGTAATATTGAGGACACAGAAAAAAATGTGACTTAGGAGACCAAAGGATATTATAGTGAAACCTCTATCCATCGTTCCCGGAACTATCGTTTTCCCGGATGCATCGTCCGTTTTGTTCGGTCCCGAATACATCCCATATAAAATAATGTTACATTTTCCCGCTTCTATCGTTCCTCGAACTATCGTTTTATCGCATCGATCGTTCAAAAATCGTAGTCCCGGCCCACAATTTTCCCGCAATGATCGTTCCTGAGAATTTAAAATGCTGGGTTTAGAGATAAATTAATACCGAAAGACGCACAATGTTTTTGGAATAAACAGTAGCGGTAACCTGTTATGTCGCCCAACCAGCACATTCTTTTGGAATGAGGGTCAGCGGTGCAGGGGTGATAGTTGGAGTGAATGGCGGTGCCCATTGTCAGAAATTTTACGATTTTAATTAGGGTGCACTCATATTTCGTTCCAGCGATGCCAGATGGCACTGCATTGGCGAAAGTGAAGTCGTTCTTTTATGCGCTTAATATTAGTGAACGTGACGAGGAAAACATTTTGAACGTGGAAAGTGCTCTGTTTGGTCTAAAACGTAAAGTTTCGACAAACCAGTTGTCCATTAAAGACTTTTTTGGTAAAAAGAAGTAACTTTGAAAGAGAAACATTGTTTTTTTAAAAAATTTTAATGCTATCCCGCATCTATCGTTTTCCCGCATTCATCGTTTTTATTTCCCACCTTCGCCGAAAACGATGCATCGAGGTTTCACTGTATTACAAATACAAGTTATGAGATATTAAATGGATTAAAGTGGCCAAGTCCTAGAATTAACAGTACTGGCACTCTCATGTTTACCATACTAAATTAATTCCTGTCTGGATTAAAACAAAGCACAAAGATCACTTACCAAAGATACAACATTGTTACTGATCACACCACCAAAGAGTGTTTTGACTAGGTTCTTTAACTCTGGTGTCATTTCTTCAAGTTTTGACACTAAATCAATAAAAAATTCAGCCATATCTTTCTGTTCTCCTGTGTTCAGTGGCTGGTGGTCCATTGTGTATACCTTGCAAAAACTCCTTGGGTTATATGCTTTCCTTTCACTTTCCTAAATGCACAGAACAAATTTAAGTTTAGAACAAAATAAAAAAGAGGAATATGACGTAATGCAGTGGACAGTATTTGATGCCTACTTTATGTACTTTATATGGCAGAATAAACCTATGGTATCATGTCCACATGTCTCTCCAAACCTAATAACTTCTGAAAACATTGGTAAAATTTCATAATACCCAACATGAACATCACTTCACTCGACATTCCATGCACAGTCCTGAAATACCATGTGACAATAAATCTCAAAAAAATACACAACTTTCACTGAGGCCATATTTTATCACACGCAAAGTATGGTGCCCATGCAACCACACAGTCTACTATACAGAGCATGGAATACCTCCAAATGTCGGAGCATTCAAATATTACTGTTACTAAATAATGGCCAAGTAAAATCATGTTTAACTATCCATGTCCTGGTAATAAATAATGCACCACTGAAGCTAGGCACTTCACATATAGTGTTTAATTATATGTAATGATCCAATTTTAAAGCAAATTGTTATCACAAACTAAAGGGACTTACTGAAAGACTGTCAACATTTTCTTTGCATCCGTAACATAATATGCCTGGTTTACGTCAGGAAGTGAGAAAAAATATTACTGAACTTAGTGTGTAAAAACATGTGAAACGTATGCAAAATGAAGGCACAAACTGAGCTGTCTCAAATAAACAAATCTCCTCTTTGAAAACTAATACTAGACATGTATCACAAATTCTCTAAGACAAATTTAGGATGCCCACTTACAAGGAGATATGCAAACATCCTCTGCAACTCTCGAAGGGTATGCTCATGTTTGCTGTTGTTATCACACTTTGCTCGCAAGATTGAGGTGCGAGCTTGAGGCATCATGTACAGATGCTGCATACAAGATGCCATGTAACATGTTGCACCAAGATTGGTAAGACCCACATAGCCACAGTCTGAGCGTCCATCTTCATGTGGCCAGTAGTCCCACGGATATGGTGAATTGGGTCCTGAAACAGTTACCAAAAACTCTTTTGGGATCAATGGTGTGACGACACATAGCATGTTCAATTTCCAGTCACACAAAACATTTACCAACATGACTGACTGTAGCATATCATAATGCTCTGTGCTCCATCAACACACACATACATAAGTGAGAAAGAGACTTAAACAATGTGTGCATAAACATATGTTCTGTGTTCATAACCTGAAATGAACAAGAACATACTCATGCTGTCCAACTTTGTCTACCAGTGAAGAAGAAGGTCCTGTACTATAAAGACGCACAGAAACAGGGTGTCACTGGAAATCTGCTCCTTCATTACTACCATCACAAAGTCCCCCTTAGGAGCCTATCCTGAACATTTAATCTAATTCACAGACATTTTCCAAAATTTTGTATGCAGCAGTTTAGTGAATGACTGCTACACAAACCATCCACCATACCCTCGTTCTAATCACCCAAACAATACTATACGAAAAGTACAGATTACAAAGTTTTCTTTTCTAATTTTTCCTATTCCTCTTTTAATTGGGACCAAATAATCTCTTCAGCACTCTTCTTTAGCATTTTCAATCCTTGCTGTTCCTTCAGAGCCAGAACCAACATTTCACACCCATATAAAATTACAAATAAATTATAGTGCTGTGTATTTTAATCTTACCACCAATGTCTAGAAAAACAAACAGAAACATTACACCAGAGAAAGGCTACGATATCCTCCATCAGTTACAACTTCCTGCAAAATAAATTTACCTGGTTTATGTTGAGCAAGAAGCCTCTCATGAAGCAGTCTGTAGTTATCTGGGCAACCTTTCACCATTTCTACAAGAAGGTCATATGCTGAGGAGCGTGACAACTGTGATTTGCACTTGGGCACATACCGTTTTCGAGGATTTGGTAATGCAAACAAGAAGTCAAACACCTGAAAACAGTAGAAATGAGACAAATTTTATATTTTAGATACTGTCATAATAAAAATCAAGACCACAAAAATGACAAACTTTAAACTGTCCTTCTAATTTCAAAATGTTAACAGATATGAAGGGTCTTTATATTAAAATAGTTCTTTACTGTATTAATATAGCAAAGGGATACTAACATACCTGGCTAAGGAACTCTTGACCTTCTTTACTGGTTTTAAATGGTGGGTTATGTTTCATCACATTAGACATGAGGTTCAATAAGCCAATGAGTCCATCATCTTCTACAGTATTATGCCTAGTTTCAAGGTATTCTCGAGCTAAGATGGACTCTGCTAGTTTCTTTGCCAATCCATCAACATCAACCACACAGGTATGAGGATCTTCAATACTTTCTGTAAGAAAACATGGACTTTCACTTAACAAAGAAATACCATTTTGTCTTACATTTACATGCACCTTTTCTTCAATTCTTTCACTGCACAGCATGCAAAAATACAGGCCAGTTTCTGTGAACTCTTTATTGTGAGTTCAAAATTCACAGCAGTGCAGCTCTGACATTTATCTTCTCGTCACTACTTTCAGAAATGTTAGTTCAACTAACATAATGATCCTTCAATTTTAACATACACCTCTCATCTCCATCAGTCTCTCAAGTGGTCTCCCTATACTTTTAAGACCTTTCAAATATAATTTTCTATGCACTTCTTATTAATCAGTATTACATACTGTACTATAACATACATAATAAAATAATTAAATTACTTGTTACACAACCTTTAATAAGATCATCATGAAGGCTATCCACTAGACGACAAAGCAGCCAAAAATAATCTCGGCAAGCAGGACCATATGGCTCCTTCCCATCCTCCGAAGGATGGTGGAGTGCCTGAAATTGCAGCCATTAAAAATATGTTTGTACTGCATTTCTGAGTTAAAAAACACTGGCAGTTGCCTACACCACAAATTGCTAAATTACATTTCAATACACAGGTAATCCTCACTTCCCATTATTTTAATGGAACACTCATTACTATGTGACAGCGAGTTCTTCTCAAACAGAATTCTTAACAAAAAACAGATATATCAGGTACATAACCTAAAAGTGTTTTCGATACACATAGGTTTTCTGTGCAACACCAACCTCTAGTTTCTGTGGCCTCATGCCCTCTGCAATGACCAAGTATTCCATGAGATTTCCCAGCATATGTGCAGTGACATTAAGACCGATGTTGGCCGCAGGGACTGGTGTGGGAGAAGAACCAAGACAGAGACGATATAGGGCGGTACATACTTCACGTCGCACAGCAGGTTCTGGATCCTCCAGCACCAATCGTTGAAGCCAAGTGTTAAAATGAGGAGCAGCAAACAGGGCCTGTCTGACCTGCTCACCTGAATGTACCCAAGATACAAGCAGTGCCATGGCATAATGCACAACCTGCAAATAAAATTGGAAACATTCAAAGATTTTTTATTTGAACTGAAAAATGAATGAAGACCATATTTAGAGGTGAATTACTTGTTGAAACACTCCCTGAAACATCTGAAATTATGTGAAAATAAGTGTGCTTTTCTGACATTTTAATACAAAATTAAGGTTTTCAGATGAAGATATTAACACTCACATAAACTACATAATAACATACATAAAAATAGTTGTGGATTTTATTAATTTACTTGGCAAAACAAAGTATTTTTGAAACTTATTCTTTGAATCGATTCCAACTGTAAAATTCATAATAAATTGTCACCACCATTTTACAGGCTCTGCCATTTAATAAAAAATTACAAACAGAAGTTTATATTGATGAATTAGGATATGCACAGAGACTGTAGACAAATGTGTTAAGATGTATAATATAAATGACAATAACAGAAATAATATTAGCAATTAATATCATACCTGAGCTCTTCCCCAGAACCCTGTTTTGTAATGATTTGGGTCTCTTGGAAGAGATGCCTCATGAAGAATGCTCGTTAATCGAGGCATCACAGAGTCCACATCCATCATTTGTAGCATTGCCTGAAGCAAAGAAAGTGAGATAAAGCATTATATAAGTTCAAGTTATCCAAATAAAAACAATCTCTTCAACTATCTACAATCTCTGCAGTGTTACCATGTTGGAATTGGTGAATATAATGCTGTCAAAAATTTAGCATTAGGGTAACATGGGTTCACCTTCCTTGTGAACCTTACTGAAGTGTTCAAGTCATTTTAGCACACACTAAAGGCATCAAACATCACTGGATACAGATGACATTTCTTGTGCAATGTCATCTAAAACAGACTTTAAGACATTTCTCATTTAGAAATAAATGTTTCTTTGCAAACCTCATTCAGTTTTGATACAACCAGTTTATCAGAGCTTCCTTTGCGAAACCGTCTGGCACGTTTGTTGCGAAGATTGTCAGGAACGTCATGTAAAATATCTCCATCCTCTGAAGACACACCTAACTGGCAGAGCAGTTTAAGCAGACATGCCAGACAGTCCTGCTGCCACTCACTGCCATCACCACCTGACCTCTGCAGTACACCTGTGAAACCATTCACCATTAACAAACTTAACCTGCTAACATTGTTTTAACAGGACTAGGGTACAAGGGACATAATGTCTCTTGAAGCCCTGAGTCCCTATTAATATTCTGTAATACAAGTTCATTATGGTGAGGAGCTGTTTCCTTGCCTATCCCACAACAGAAAAGCCACCCCATGTTGGTAGTCAATGACTGCTTATTCAATATATTCACAGCTAACCCATATACCCAGACATTATCTTCATCCAAAACCTGTCATGTCATCTGTTTAAGCCCTTCCACCTTTTACATGGTTCACTCCATTTTCACAAACAAGGATAATCTACTGATAAAGTTATGGAACTGAAAACATTGCATCTTATTCAATAAATCAAGGCAGTATGCCACTGTACCTGAAGTTAAAGGAATGTCATTGCAAAAATTTAAGTTAAGTATGTGTTAAGTTTCTAAGTTCTGGCTCTAACATGTTTAATGTGTTAACACTCATTCAAAATCTCTGTAATTCAGTTGGCTTTCAAATCATATACAAAGAGAAACAAAAGTGCCAAATCTTTCTGTAGACATTCTTTCCTTTTCACAATGTTGTTTGTAATTAATCATAGAACAGTTTTATTAGCCACTGTTAGCAAAAGATGGCTGGTTTGCTGGTCATTATGGTAATACTGAAATAGGTAAGCTAGGTCAGTTGTTAAAAACCATCATTTTTCATGTTGGCGCCACTGACTCAGATGGGCTGTATGGTCGAATCTGAAAATTCATCTTGGGAACACTTAAACATTAAATGCAGGCAACTGAACAGACTTCCTGCAGCTGTTGCTCCAATTACTTAGTTACCTTAATAACCCATTTCTGTAGTTCACATAAATCCACACCAGTATTGAAAATCACATCCAGCAACTCTTTAAAGTATTTTATGACTGACATGTAACTTTAATAATAAACCCCTGAACTATTTATTGAACGAAAATCTCCTGTAATGATTACCTTTAAATATGAGAATTTGTAATCAATGAATTGTTGGTAATGTGGTAATATGCAATGATGAAGGAAAACAGAATGTACTAAGAGAACAGCAACAGTACACATGATATAATAAACCTAGGAAATACCTGACATGAAGATATCAAATAGGTGTCTCAGGCCACCCTGCTGTATGAACATTTGACTCCAGCTTCCAGCAGAGGTAGACTCCTTACTTCTCTCTGAGTTAGGACCATCTGCTGTCCCATGGTTATTCACCTGAAAAAATGTCATGTCACAGCAAAATAGAATTTCCTACTCAGTATCAAATTAAAATTCAAGCACTTCTGAAAATGTTATGTCAATATCAGATTTTTATATACACAAAAACACTCACTTAGTTTGATCAACAAGCAGAAAATCTGCGATTAAGATACTGAGCCTTTAACAAGAGAAATTAAATACTGAACTGAGATACATAAACTGGAGATTCCACTAACAGTATATCCTTATAGAACAATTTCAATATAATTTGCAATAAGTTTTAGGCAAGTAAAACACAAACACCGTGATAACAAAATGACAGGAAAGTTCTTGACTAGAAAATGTATCCTCTTATGAAAGCTGTGTGGTGCAAAAAGCAGCATAAATCAATACAAGGACTATTCACATAAAAACAGAAAAGATATATGATTTTCTTGACCTTCTTAGTCAGACTATCACACCTCATGAAAAACAAAAAGACTTACAGCAGAGAAATGCAAGCCAAATATAAGAATCAAACAATGGTGAAAATAAGATGTTTTTTAATCTTGTGTCATCAGACACACATGAACTGCATGCAATAAAAATTGAGCCACTAGGCACTGACTGGGTCAGATCTTATCAGTACTATCAGAACCTGTCTCTGCAGGTTCAATGTGACAGAGAATGAAACATGTAATATATAATTACTCTTACATGTTAGTATTATACAAGGGTTATTCAAATGAAACCAATTTGGGGATTTCTCGGGGCAAAGGAACAGAGGCTACACAAACAATGACGCAAGCAACTTACTGACACACCAACCAATGGATCCGCACCATAAAGAGCTTTCATGGCTGCTGCTGGAACCACTGCACCACAACGGACCAGACATTTTCACCCAACCCAAATCTAGACCTTTTATCACTTACCTGAGGGGGCCAAACACATCAAACCAGCATATTAGCATATAACATGCCCGGGTTGTATGGGGGATGGTACACCTTCCAGCATCCTGGAGACACAGGGATGGACTTTGTTGTGCAACATAATGACACCCCTTACGAGTATGCTAGAACACTCTCTTGACGGCAGTACGAAGGTCTCAAAAGGTTCTCACAAGAGCATTTATGGTGAAGTCTGGATCCTTGAAGCGAGTCCTAAAGAGTGGTAGAATCAGTTCGACAGAGATGTCTATACTGTGGTGGTACAGTGCTTCCAACAGCAGCCCAAGTAGTTCTATGAAAAGGGTATGTTATCAGCTGGTGCATCAATGGGATGCATGACTCATTGCCCATAAGAACTATTTTTAAACACCTCTACTCCTTTACACAGAAGAGTCCCTGAACTAGTTTAATCTGAACAAGCATCACATAATTAGTACACCCCTGAGTATATAAAAGTACAAGTTCTATTATAATACAGGTAGTATGTGATACCAGTCTCCTAATAACAACTGTGTTACACTTTGTTTATGCCACACTTGTCAAGTTTCATGTGAAACTCAATCAGAATTAAGGACCAATATCTGCTTGTAATATTAAACACCCTTGTATGAAATAGTAAACTCCACTGAACTTAATACAGTGAAACCTCTATCCATCGTTCCCGGAACTATCGTTTTCCCGGATGCATCGTCCGTTTTGTTCGGTCCCGAATACATCCCATATAAAATAATGTTACATTTTCCCGCTTCTATCGTTCCTCGAACTATCGTTTTATCGCATCGATCCTTAAAAAATCTTAGTCCCAGCACACAATTTTCCCGCAATGATCGTTTCTGAGAAATTGTAACGAAATTTACGTGATATTTTTAGAATTTAATTCCGAAAGACGCACAATGTTTTTGGAATAAACAGTAGCGGTAACCTGTTATGTCGCCCAACCAGCACATTCTTTTGGAATGAGGGTCAGCGGTGCAGGGGTGATATTGGAGTGAATGGCGGTGCTCATTGTCAGAAATTTTACGATTTTAATTAGGGTACACTCATATTTCGTTCCAGCGATGCCAGATGGCATGTGCAGTGTGAATTTCTTCACAAATGCTTTTATTATAAGTACAAAGGAAAGGCGAGCGAAACTTTTTCATTCTTCTGGTTCATATCGTGTCTTCTACAGCTACGTTTCGTTGAGTTCGGCAGTAATAGTACTTCCATTCTTCCTGTTATTGTCCGCAAAGGGGGTTGGAGTGGTGAGGAAGACGAAGACGACGAATGCGAGCCCGAAGCTTTGCCGAGTTTTGCCGAAGCACACGCTGCATTGGCGAAAGTGAAGTCGTTCTTTTATGCGCTTAATATTAGTGAACGTGACGAAGAAAACATTTTGAACGTGGAAAGGGCTCTGTTTGGCCTAAAACGTAAAGTTTCG